CTTCAAATCTGGAGTAACTGGTTTCCAATGCTACTAGGGCTGCCACCCCTTCATGGTGGTGTCAATATATAGAATTCCAGGGCAATCTTATCAGGAGGGAGTTTTTCAAATATGATCTTTAAAAAAATCGGGGCCCAGTCTGATCTGCCTTGGTAGCGGGTCTGATCCCTCCCATGGCACTTTTTGCGTGTAGGGAGCAACTCTCGCCTCCTTGGCCAAAACACCCACCCTTTTACCACCGTCAACAGAACAGCCCGCTGCGCATCGCTTGGCTGCTGCCTTCCCACAGCAGGCGGGTTGTGTGGCGCTCTGGGGACCCTGCGGGAGCACGTGTGCAATCGAAATGCAAAACTACCCCGAGAGTGCGACTGTGCTCAGCACCGGCTCAGGCGGGAACCCGACGTTCCTCCTCCTCTCCCATGGCCCGTAATAAACCGCCCCCCACTTTCTGCCCGGAGCTCATTTGTTGCCCCATTGATCCCAACAACCCCTGTCCCACCACGCCCGGCCCATTCAGTACCGAAAAGGGCGCACAGCAGCGGGCTCCTAATGACAGCCCCGGCGAGGCCCGCGCCACTCCCCAGCCGGCAGCAGCGCGCACAGCCTAACAGCGCCGCACGCGCGCCCGCCGGGGGCTCCCGGGACAGGCGGACGGGCGAGAGTGCGCGCGCAGCAGGAGGCAGGGCAGCCGGGCTCGTTTGCAGAGCCGCGGTGGGGGCGGGGAGGACGCTGGCAGGTCTATTTGAATAGCGGGGCTCCGCTGACAACTTCATTACCTCCGCGTGGAAAAATGACTGCAGGGGACGCAAATGGCTTTTGCGTCGCGCCCTCGCCTGCCTGGTGCGCGCGGGCTGCTGCAGGGACCCCCAGCCTGAGCCCCGAGGCAGCTGAGCTTTTGTCCCGTGTAATGAGCTCATACTCCTCCCCTCCCACTCCCCTCGCTGCATGGAGCCCGGGGACTGGCTCTTCCGGCATGGCGGGGGGGAGACCTGGCTCTGGCCTGACCTCCGCTGTCAATCAAAGCCGAAAGAAAGGGGAGGAAAGGAGGGGAGATGCTTATCTCGCTCTGTAAGAAATTCCTAATGAATGTTAAGCAAATTCCCTCCAGCCTGACAAGGTGGATCTAATTAATATCATAGAAATGCCAGCAGCATATCATTCTGCAGCTAGGATTTATCACCTTGAACTGCTGCATAAGGGATGGGCACCCCCATCAATAGGTTACTTATTGCAGACAGAAATTTCAGGCTGTGGCTCCTCGGTTAATCCGAGATCTGGCTCTCAGGCTCCCACTTCTGCCTGCCTGATAACACAGGTGAAGGGTGTGACAACAGGACACTGTGTGGGGTAAAACAAAAATCCAGCCCAGGGTGGCTGAGGGGGCCCAGAACAAACGAGGGAGGGCTTAGCTTGGGCATTCTGGTCCTACCGCTCCTGCTGAAAGTTTAAAACAATTAAGGAGAATTTAAATAGCTTTGCCAATTCTGCAAGGGATTAAGGTAACTGTCATTACATTTTGGAATGGTGAAACTACCAAGGAAAGGGGAATTTAGGGTTGTCCAAGAAGATGTAACTAGGAGTGCTGGGATGAAAGAGCACAGGAAAATGTTGGTAGAATAATAGGAAAGATTTCCTACCAGTGAGACCTGAGACTGTAATAGTCCCCCAAGGGAGGTGATAGAAGTCCTTGCACTTGAGTAATTTAAAACTAGATTGGGTAAAGCACTAGGGAATATTCTGTTGGGAGCAATCCTGCACTGGTAGTGGAATAGAGACAGGATAACCTAATTGGTCTTTTTCAGGCAGAACTGGGAGTCTGATATGAGTGATCTGCCCCTCAGGCATTAGGTCTTAGCACGACCATTTTGTATCACTAAATGCCTGTTCCTGATTTTATGGATGGACAACTCAATGCACTTCAGTTCTAGGTTTGGTTAGCGGACATGAATACTGTAGTATCTGATGTGGGGCAAAGAAACGTTAGCCCTGTATTTAGCCCTGATGGCAGATAACAGGATTTGTGATTCTGATGCAGAATGTTGGGATTGCAAACTAACTTTTTGCTGCAGAGTTGAATGGTTGGCTACCAGTTTTCTTTTGGTGGTCTTGATATTTTGATGCCTTGAAAAAGAAAGCATATGCTCTTAGCTAGGGTCATCGAGATAGGCTGAAATATTTTTATTTTATGGCCATCCTGAGATGATTTTCATCCTGGATCCTAAAATATGACTTGGTTCAACAACGAGGTTCATATGATATTGTGTATTAAAATACAACAGAATGCCACTGATATGTTAGCGTCTCGTGTAGATTATTGTCTTCTTATTTGCATGTGCTAATTATGTACTTCAGACATCATATTGAAAGACTTTTTAAACATAAATTTAGCAGTTAAGCTCAAAATATCTTTTTGGGATTGACAAATGTTCATTCTGAGTCCCATAACGACAGGTGTTTGTCTCAAAAAGGTATTTCTCTCACCTTTTTTTTGTACCCCAAAAGACATGAACTCATAGCTTTTGTTGTTGTTAAATAGAGCCATTTTTTGTCTTCCCCCACAAAAAGTAGAGGCAGCTAGACATCAAGTTGAAGGCGTGCTAATAAAGTGATACATTCAATTTTTTGATTGTGTGGACACAACTACCCAATGGCCTACTACCTATATCCAGATGCTCCAGTCTTCATTCAGCTAAACATAGCTTGTGAAGTCAGGTTATGACTGGCTACAGACTCGGACTATAAGCTAAAGGAGGATTTTCATTGCTCCACAATTAGGCATTTTAAATGAACTACACACGTCACACAGACACACACTCCCATGTGTGACATATTCTGCCCAGTGCACAAAAGACAACACAAGCAAGTACATAACATGGCAAGCATCACTCTACGCTTGAGTCTATGTGCAATATTGTTCCTGTTGTTGTTTTTGATATATGAGAATTTATTGCACATTTCTGATCCTAACATTCTAACACCCAAACATGGTTCACTTTATTTTAGTGTTTATTGGAACTTCAGTCTCGTAAGAAGTAAAACATGCAGTAGTCTATTGAATTTTAAGTTCTGAGTGGATGCAGAAAATCTCTACCTATACATTTATTTACAAAGTGAAGTTACAATATGCATTCTCAACACCCTTCTCAGAAGATCCTCGTGTTACAAATTCAAAGCAGGGAAGAGCAAAATGGACAGCAGTTTACCAACATTTTAAAACTATGAACCTCAGCTAAAGAGGACTAATGGCCACTTTCTTTTTCAGCAACTTCTCAAACCTACGCTAATGAGTAGACTTAGAGATTTTCTTCATTTAGCATTTCTCATTATTAATAAATTTTGCACTGACAACTACAAAGTGAACACTTTGGATTTATGCACCTAACCTAATTACATATGCTGCATGTACGCATTTCATTATTTACTTGACAGATTCATTCCTTGGCATCATAAATAATTAAAGAAGGATCAAATATTAACAATCAGACACATGTTAATTCTCCTCAAATCTGTGGAAACAAACACATTTTATTTTCTGTTCAACAAAGACTGAATAAAATGTTGGCATCGGAAGGGTTGATGCTTTTTGTTAATAAATAAAGTTCTTGATCTTCATTTTTATTTTACTTACAATGAAAAATTAAAATGTACAATTGTTCCATGGTTCCTGGAAAACTTGTAACTATTTTTAATAATCATAAAATGTTAGTAATTCCTTCCTGACAGCTAATAAATGAAACATTTTGGTTTGGTATTTGTCTGGCAATTTCAAAGTTAGGAAATTTCAAAGATAAGGTCTGACCCTACTCCCATTAAAGTAGATGGCAAACTCCTCAGCTGGGACAGGATTGGTTCCATAGTTTTCATTATTAGCCAATAGCAATAATTTGTGCCTCTCTAAAAAATGAATAAATAAATGTGTAGGCAAATTATTTGGTGTTTGTTTCATCAGAATAAAGACCTGATTCTGTGCTGAATGCCCATAACTCCCAGTGAAGTCAATAAGAGTCACAGATGCTTAGCACCTCTCAAGTTCAGACCCCAGTATTAATAAAGAGCCAGATTCTCACCCCGTCCACTTATTCACTCTGATTAGTATCTTTCTCTGCAAGGAGTTCCACTGAAATCAGTGGGGCTTTCCGGGAAGTAAGGTACTACACAATGGGAGTCAAGGTAGCACAGCCTGGCCCAACAGCCTGTATGGTACAGTGTGCCTGCTGTGAATTGCTAGCGCCCGTAACTCCCAGTCTCAGGAGGCACTCAACACCTTACAGGATTTGGTCTGTTACCTTTTACTGCTTAAGCTTTAAATTATAATTAAATCTTCAAGTGAATTATTTGTGACCAGAACTACTTCCCAGTAACAAACCTATCTGAACTCTCTTGCTTGCTGTGTGAACTAAATTGATGTTTAAATATTTTTCTACACATTATTCAATCTCTCCATTTGATCAGAAATATTCTCGGATTTGATCAAATTTACTTTTGGATATCACCTCCCACAATTTCATCATTTTAAAGGTGTTAAAAATTCATAAATTGCCACATTATTCATCATGCAAGATTAATGTCAACCTGACAGGTTTTGTAAAGATACAATTTTTTTTTCCTGAGTGCACATAACCATATCTGTGTGAGATATACCTTGGTTGTTGAATATTGATTATTCCTATCTCCTTTCTTATTTCTGATGCTAAAGAGAGAATATTAGGGTGTGATTGTCAGGGTTAGTGTCTCTCTGACCTACACTTGTACGATTAATAATTTATGAGTTGATTTGAAATAGATCTCTGTGAAATGAGCTGGCAATAAGCAGAGCTGTCTGAAATGACAAAGATTCAGAATAGGGCAACTCATGTACATCAGCTTCTCAGGTTCAATTTAAAAGCAAAATGAAACAAAAACTCAATACGCCTGATGCAGTAGTTAGGAGTTTGTTATCTGAATGCACAAAAAAATATCACTGTTCCCTATTAAAAGTTAAATCTGGGAAACAGATGATTTATCAGCTTTCGGTCAAACTTTCTAAAGCATTCAGTTTCTTTATATATATATATATTTAGTGGAGAATGAATGAGCACTGCAATGTGAGAGAGAAGAGAATTTGTTGGTTAACCCTATAGCTGCTGACTATAATTGAAGTGTGAAGCAATATCAGTTCAGGAACACAAACCCACCCTGCAAACCCGTATTCACATGCACAGTGCTTATGTGAGTAGTCTCCTTGACTTCAAAAGATAACTCTGAGGCAAGTAAGGATCAGGCCCCAAAAATGAGATCCTGCTCTGTTGTGCAGATTTGGTACAAGTCGGAGAGGTGCTATAGCACACCTGCTGAATGTCTACACTACCATTTATGTCAATATAACTTATGTCGCTCAGGGGCGTGCACCAGTTCTAAGTCAGCTGCTAGGCGCCGACCGAGGTGGAACGCCGCCCCCCACCCCATCTCCGCTGAGGGAGAGAGGGTACTTGCATCTCAAGGAAGCCACTCCTTGCAGCATTCGGCCCTTTAATTTTCAAAGCCCATTGCATTTGTTTTGCAGACTAGGTTCATCAGTTAGGGTAGGAACCTGCAAACGTGTACTCACAACAGTCTCTCTGAATTAAACAGAGCCACGTCCTGATACCTTTATTCACGTTCAATACTTTACGCCACAAATAGGCCCCTTGACGTCAATAGGATTATTTGTGAAGTCATGTGCTATTGAACAAGTAAAGGTATCAGAATAGGACCCATAAGGACCACCCACATGAATGTTTATAGGAGGGGCCTCAATGGGATTGCTTCTCTGAGTATGGTCCAGGTTATTGATTACCAACTCTCAGAATGATCCACTTCTCCTGGAACAGTGGTAAGTCCAAAATTATACAAACATGATGTACTCACTGTATACACAAGCAAAAATAAGAGAAACGCTTGGATGAGCTGCCCATTGTTTTTCAAAGGATATTCTCAGTAATTTTGCGCTAAGAAATGGACTAGCTGGTGGTTTACCAATGAGAGAGAATCATATTACTGTAGTAAACTGATCGCCTAAATTTATAGTATTTGGAGTCACTGCATGGACAATGCTCTTTTCTCTGTTATTTGTAACCCATTGAAATAGTGTTGTCTAGTTTGCCCATCAAACTCATTTATGTGATCCTAAAATGCTTAATCTGGATGGAGACGTCACAGAGCTTTTTCTTCTGTGATGTGCTACAAAAAATGTGGATCGAGTAAACGTGTAGTTTACCTTTATGTGAAGGAGAAAGGAGAATGTTATTCAAAGCAACATACAGCCAACATGCGGAAACCTAGAAACTAGTTAATGCCTTGTAACAAGTCTGAAATGAAGATGTTCAACCAAGAAAATGACATTAAGCAGCACTAGCTAAGGCAGAAAAGAACAGCTTGTCAGAATCATGTGAGTGTTGTAGTGACATATAGACAATAAAATGGGATGACACAGGCTCTTCTCAGTGGGAGTGTTTTCTCCTGCTGTCTCTTGGGAGTTTCAGTGCACTTTCTTTGTAGGAAAGCTTTCCACTAAAAAATGGCAGCAAGCCCCTTGGAGGTCTTATTAAAATTCTTCCTCTGTGCTGTAAAATACGTTGTATATGGCAGATGACAGTACCCCAACAGTTAATGCTGTATAGTGTAAAAGAAAGTAGCAGAGGCCATCATACCAGCTACTGACATATTCCAGGAAAACTGCACAGTTGGCATCTTGGAACGGGAAATTAATCAGGAGGGAGAATCAGTTCATAATCCCATGTGCAGCAGGTGTCTAAAGTCATTATTTATTATTTACTATACATAGCATCAAATGTGTGTTTCACAGACAAATACAAGGGCAAGGTCCACGCCCGGAAGCACTTACAATTTATACATCTAATCCTGAAAGATGCTGAGGGCCTCCTGGGACAAACTGAGTACCTTCACCTCTAACAGAAGATAATTTTTGCACATCTCAGGAGGTCCTGCTTGCCTTTCTCACATGAACAGTCATACTGACCCCTAGGGTCTTCTAAGTCTTGTAAGTAAAGGGAGGATTTGTCTCTTGCCATGCGACCTTAGGTAAGTCTAACCCTTGAACTCTCTGTATTTCAAGTTTCTACATCCATATACTGTTAATACCTTCCTACATGACAAGAGAGCTCTGAGACTTAAGCCTGGGAGAGACTGTGAAACATCATGGTCTCACATGCCAAAATATGCAGACAACACCCAGATCTTAAACATCGCTCCCATTAGGGATCCCAAAATTAGCATGTGGTTGAAGAATGGCTGGTGGAAGCTAAACCAAAGCAAAACAGACATGAGTATAATGCAACAGAGAAAGCATTCAGAGGACTGGCCGAAATGATAACAACTGAGGGTGTCGCTCCTCCAGTCATTCAGAGAATGAACAGTCTCTGGGTAATTCTAAACCAAAAAATCTTCCTCCTGCTAGCCAGAAGGCTTAAACTGCATCTAAACAGACATGGACCAAGCCACTATGATCCACACATTTGTGACCTCCTGCCTGTTACTACAATGCACTGTAGCTGGGAATTAATCCAAAGTCTCTGAAGAAACTTCAGCTGATGCACAATATGACAACTACCCTGTTAAGTAACACAGGTCAATGCAAACAGCCCCTCAATGCTTTCTGCAAACTGGACCGATTTCCCAAAGAATTTCGGACTGAATTCCAAGTTCTGGTCTTGATCTTTATGGTTTCAATCCTGCAAATGCTGAACTCTCTGACCCTGATCCAGCAAAGCACTTAACCAAGTGAATCTTCAGAAGGAAATGTCAGACCCAGATCTTTCCCACCAGAACCAACCCCACCCAGGGAGATGGGAAACAAGGAGGGGAAGACTAATATGAAAATCATACTAAGCGAATGGATGTTACTCAAGGGAAAGAAGAGAAAGAGCCTTTTACTACAGGCTCATGGAATAGAGGGAGAGAACAAGAGTTTAATTATTTACAAATTCTGGCCTTTATTAAATTTATTGTAATGCATTCAGAGGCCACTGTGATTAGATAGGGAGACAGACAGACATATGGTAAAGGATCTGAAGTCCTCAGATGCAGCCCCTGACACCAATGGGCACAGCAGAGGGTGAGTGGGAGTAAAGGAGTCAATTGTGATTCCCTGAGTTTCAGGCTGTCTTCATGCCAAGTCCGGCGTAGTTAAAGCTAATGAAAAGAAGCTGTATTGTTTTATGTGAAGAATACAAAATCAGGGCCAATCCTGTAAAATCCTACTCAAGTGTGTCTTAGTCATAGGCATAAGGACTCTTCTTGTCAGTCAAGGCTGCAGAAATGAGTCTTAAATATAGAACAAGAAAATATGTGTTTCTCTGTAATTGCTTGATAGCCACTGTGTTAGCAATGGAAGACAAAAATCTTACTCTGTAAGTGCATGTGATTTCTGGTAACATGCAAACACATACCTGTGAAATAAGAAACAGAATTTTGTTTTATTTTTAAATACAAGCTGTTTGCATAATTCTTCCTGGCCAGAAACCTGTACAAAAGGCATTAAGGGGAAAAGACCTGTTCAGAAAATAAAATATAGATCTCAACACATTTTCAATGTATTTGGTTAAATTGATTGTCATGTGCTATAAGTTTTATATCTCTACAATAAGAAGTTGTAAAATAAGATCAATTTTCAAGAACTAATTTTATTATGAGAAAATAATAATGGAGGGCCATATCATAGCATAATTTGAACAACAGAACTCCCACTTATGGGGAGTTCTGCTTGAAATTAACAATCCTATGTGGCCCAGATTTATTATAAAGTATATTTAAGAGCTGATTCTGCAACACTTACTCAATGAGTAGTCCTTACTTATGCTAGTAGTCCCAATAATTTTAATAGGGGCTACTAATGACTGCAGGATTGGCCCAAAATCAATCTCTTTCCTACAATTTCTAATCAACACCAATATTGCTTTCTCAGGCACCAATTCCAATGATAACACTTATTGATATTAACAAGACTACCACATTGCTACTAGCTTCCCTAAAAGGAAATTCTGTCAATGCTGCCCATTTAACCAATATGTACAAGTGTACACTAATTACCTCCCTCTTCTCTCCCCTTCTCTGACTCTGTAATCAGCAAGGTGAGTACGCTGCTTCTCCCTTCCCCAAAATAAATACAGAACTCTACTATGGGTGCTGTAGCCTGAAAAATACTTTGAGCCATGTTATCAAATGTGACTAGTAATTTTGGATGCCGTGATGTTTGAGTGCCCAACATGAAATGCACCAAAAGGGACCTGATTTTGAGTGGGTGGGTGCTCATTGCCCTCTGAAAATTAGGTGTTTTTGAGATGTCTTGAGTTGCGCATCCAAAAATTGAGCCCCCAGAAATCATATTTTTAAAAGTATTCTGCATCCACAATTGTGGCCAGATTTTCAAAAGAGCTTGTTACCTAGCGTCTCCCACTGGGAATAGGAAGTCCTTTATAACACAGAAAGAAATAAGAAACAGACAATTGCTATTCCTTTCCAAGATCGTAACAGACTTTCTGTGCAACCATGGGTAAGTCACTTAACTGCTCTACGGCTCAGTTTTCCCATCTGTAAAACAATAGTACCTACCTCCTCAGGTGTTTTGAGACTTAATTAATTGTTAACAAAGGACACTGAAGTGCCATCTTTTATATCAAGAAGTAGCAGCAATAATTGGGAAGCTTAACATGAACAGTGTGTCTAATGCATTTTCCAGCCCTATACTATGAAACTAGCCAACCAATTGCTATACATAAGGTACAGTATGGATGAAGCTGTTTCTTGATGCTTGGTGAAAACAATGGGGCAAAATTCCCATTGTCTTCCGTGGAGTTAGGATTTCACTCTGAGAGTGCTGGTGAAAGTACTCCATGCTGTGCTACTTTACTACCCATCTAAACGTATACTAAATTCCCCAGGGAGAAGAAATGGGCCCCAAATACCACAAAAAGCAAAATATAGTCCTGTGTCTACAAAAAACACTGAGGACTTATCTACATGGGGAATTCACAGGGTAGTTAGTGTGAAACAGCTAGTGTACGCATTAAAACTGCAATAGCTGTTCCACACTATCGCCCTGGAGGGACACTCTGATTCCACACTAGGGCTCCATCTACACTGCACATGACTGGCATAGTATGTAGGGCATGGGGTGCAATCCAGACTAATGAGGGGTTGTGTCACCACCTGCCCGGTAACCCTCGGTGCATGAAATGCCCCACTACTGTGGCTCACAGCCTAGACACCAGCAGCTAGGGTAACCAGATGTCCTGATTTTATAGGGACAGTCCCGATTTTGGGGTCTTTTTCTTATATAAGCTCCTATTACCCCCCACCCCCTGTCCCAATTTTTCACATTTGCTGTCTGGTCACCCTACCAGCAGCCAACAGACAAACATGCAGGTCACACCCAAGTGTCTGCGTGCTGCACATCCCTGGATCAGCAACTCTGGCTCCAGCATCCTGTCTGTAGCACAACAGCCTCACCCTGGCCTCCACCAGCCTCAGTTACTACTTACAGAGTGACCTCAACGCACTCCCAGTCCCAAGTTTTCCCCAAACCATGTGCTCTGCAAGTGCCCAGCCCTCTCCTGAACAATTCAGAGAAATAATAATAAGGTTAATTTGCTCCTTAAAGAGACAAAAGCATATGTCCATAACTCTTAATACACACCACACCATACATCACACAAGAATATTAATCAGTGAGTTATTAGATTTCCAATGACATATTACATTATCCCTTTTAGATACCGTTTATAACCATAATGAGTTGGGGTACACTGAATTGGTTAGGCCAGCTGAAATTCATTACCTGATACCAATGAGATCCTTGTCCTCTGGCACTGGGATGATCTTAGGATAACAATGGGTAGCTATACACTGCAGTGAAAAGCATAGGTAGATGTAACTTGAGAGTAGAAATATGAGAAACAGAAATGAGAATGGTGTTTACAGCCTTACTCATCATTACTATTTATTATCCAACATTCAAGAACCAGGACCTAGAGAAAAAGTAGACATCTAAAAATGTTTACTACATGAAATCAATTGCATTACAATACAGATTAGAAAACAAAATAATCAAAAGTTTGTCTACCATGTTTTGCATAAATAAAAATACATTCTGATAGTATTTGAAAATGTTCCTAAGCTCAAATCAGACTTTCATCGGTGTACAGGCAAAAATTAACTACATTCAAAAAAGGCCACCTGTTGGTTCAAAGAGGACATAATTTTAACCTAAGTTGCATGTAGAAAAGGGCACTTTTTCAACTTGAGCATAAGCAGCAAACAAGATGATACTAAAACAACGGTAACAATCCACCATTTGAATGAAATCCTGGCCCCACAGAAATCAATGGAAGTTTGGCCATTGACTTCAATGGGGCCACCATTTCATCCTTCATCGGGTCTAGGCAGAAATTTGTATTTACCCTCTATAAATAAACTAAACTTTTAATGAGCCATATATGTTTGTATTCTTCAGGTACAAAATATCTGAAGCAAAAATGAATTAGTTTGGAAGGTTTGACTATACTGAATTATAATATACACAGTTTTTGCCTTGCATTGTATGTTAATCATCTCAGAACAAAATAAAAATCTGATCTTAAAGTTTCTATGATACTTGATGTTTGTTTTTTTAACCAACATATATCTTGCAAAAACCTTCACTCTTACTAATAATAACCACTAACTTTCATTTTGCAAGCATACAAAATACCAGATAATATTAAGTAAAGAATGTAAATGACTCATACTTTGAATTTGTTCACCTGAAAGAATCAAAGAGGATGAAAATACTTAAAAATACAGGACCTACAAATAAACAAAACCTTAAACATGCTTTGGTTTGTTGTTTTTAAATAATGTGAAGCTTCACCATATGCCAGCACATTTAATTTAACAAGGAAATTAGTTACGCTTGATCAACGCTTAATGAGAGTAAAAATTTGGTAAAATGTATACTTACAGTGTAAACTGAACTGTTTGCTGTTCTTGATCCCTAAGAAAAGCAAGTACAGAATCAGTGAAGCGACTGTTAGGACAGATTAATGTAAATCTGTAAAAGATAAATGTTGTCTTACCTGTGGATAAATAAGGTCTCCATGGCATATGTTAAGATTAATTTATCGGGAAGCAATAAAAAGATGCACTTTAAAGGGGTATGATCAACTTGCAATCTGGTCTTTTTTAAATAAAATGAGTTAAACCTTATTATCAGTATTATTATCTGACATTTATATGGGCAGTCTAAAGGCCATCACTGTGCTAGGCACTACCCAAATGCATAATTAATCATAGATCTGCTTAAAGAGCACAAATCTGACTGTATTTTTGGTACCACATTTGCCCCCTGCCCAATGTTGTGGTTTCACCACCATATTTGCCTATTTTTAATGCTGTTCTCTCTCTTTGCTATTGTGCAGAAGACCCACACAAATAAAAGAGAGATCTAGTGTAGTCACAATGCCAGGGAACCACTGAAAGTGACTAGATACAACTTGCTGTCAAATGCACAAAGTAGAAAAACCAGAAAAAAGGGAGAAATGTCTAAGACTGTTTCCTTCCAGATACAAGCTGGAGTCTGGATACCTTATTATTACATTAGTGCCCAGAGACCACAATGGAGATTGGGGCCTCTTTATGCTAGACACTGTACAAAGACATAGTCAGAGACAGTCCCTAAATAGGGAAAACAAAGGATGGGAAAGGCAGTATTATTATCCTCCGTTTTAAAATTGGAAACTGAGGCACAGAAGAATTAAAAGCTTTGCTACGGTCATACCAGTAGTCTGTGGACAAGCCAGAAATTTAACCTATATCTCTTGATCCAATCCCTTAACCATAAAACCACCTTTCCACACTGCTGAAGAGATGACTCATAAATTCTGCACAGAAGGACTAAGGCACATATTAAAGTGCAGGCACCTCAACAGATTCATTATTTTTGCACAAGACAGTGTGTAAGCCCACTGTCTGAGACAGTAAGTGTGCTCCCGAGAAGGCCAGCCTCCATTATGAGTTGCCCTGGTGTGCTCACTTACAACTAAAGCATTGCACCAACTCCCTTTTGGCCTAAACCTAGAATCTCCTGGCTTCTGCAGGAGATTCTGCTTTTGACTCTCAGGCTCCATGCTACAGGCATAAAATGTTTTGCAGAAACGCCCGCCTCCTCACATTTAAACCTTAAACTTCCCCCAGAACATCTTCAGCCTGTGGCCTTGTCCTCTCCCTTTAGCTCCAGGTAGCTGCACTCTCATTATGACTGGTATTAAGGTTTTCATTCAGCGGCAAATGCTTGGGACTTATATAAATATTAGCAGAGTGAGCAAAAGGGCCACTCTTCCCTATACCACCAGGGTAATATCTCCCCACCCCCACCCCCACCCCCGACACACACACACATACACTTTTTTTGTCTCCCCTATCACCCATTATCCCTTTAATGCAGAGCAGGGCTGCTGATTACAAAAGAGGCAGTTTGACTCCAGCAATAGGTCTTCTTCACTAATCCTCACTGTCATGGAAATTCCAGCTGCTGCAAGAATAAGAGGTTCAATCCATATTTGCCAGCTCTAATATGAAATCTGTCAGGGCCCAAATTAATGAGTTCCAAATTCCTTACATCACGATAACAGGTTAAGACTGGTCAATTAATTACATAAATCCTTCCCGATTCATTGTGCATTTGCAGGCGAGATTGTGTCTTACATTACTCCATGACACAGGGCCTTTTGGCTCTTGTTGTTCCGCAGAAAGGCCCCCATTTAAAGGCAGCCTGCCTGCCACAGCGAAGTGTTAAATGTCACGCATTAGATTTGCACTTTTCTGTAATTGCTTTAGTTAAAAAAAATAAATTAATTAAAGGCTTAGAGCTGCTGTGTGTGGGAGGGGCGGGGGAGGAATTAAGGAGTGGGCCCCTCAGAAACCCATTATCTCACCTCACACACAATCTGACACCCCAGCAATAACTGCCATTGCACATGGGGAAGGTGGATCTATATGTATTTTATAGCAATGGATCCTTTTCCTTGGCTAAAGAGATGCCTAGGTCTGGGAACTGGCTGGTGTGTGTGTGTCTCTCTCTCTGGTACATACTCTGTAATCTCCACCTCTTGGGGGAGTCCCATACAAACCAGAAGGGCCCTGTCACCCACCACAGAGATTTAGTGCATTGTTAAGAGGGGCTGGGGAGCAGATTGCTGGAGTGGAATGTCCTAGGGAGGGGAAGGTGGCGGCGGCTCAGTTTTGGGCTCTGCTCTCAGCTCGTTCAATCTACCCGTGCGGGCTCTCTGCCTGGCAGCGCCTCCTTCCGGCCGCTAGGTGCATTACACACAGAGGTACCAAAGATCTCTAGGCCCAATAGGGTCAGGCAAACTTAGCGCTGGGAAGCAGTGCCTGCCTCATGTCCAGGCAGGATAGTCTCCCCATCTTGCACAGAGGCGATGCTCTCTTCCTAGCTGAGTCTCAGGCGCACTCTCATTGCAGGCACTAGGTTTTCTAATCTAATATAAAGGAAGGAGTGACCAAATTGCATTGGCTTGGCATGTGAGCAATGCACAGCGGTTATTCTGCTATTATTTTACTTTAAAATAATGATAAAATAAATAAAACCACCTCACAAAGCATCAGTTCCTTCCAGTCCTGGGGGAAAGAAGTCATGGGGGCACAAGTATCGCTGCAACTAGATAAAGCCATAACGATTTGATGGAAGGTGGGGATATTGAGGGCAGCAAACAGGAAAGTGTTGGCCATGCTCTAGTAAATTGCATTGATTGGGATTTGAAATGTAACTGCAGAGAGGAGCAGTCTACCCCAAATCGAAGGGACCGGTCCGGCACACTCCTCTGGGATCACACGCACTCCGAGCTGCCGCTCCTGGGCTCCCCCTTTTTGCTCTGTGTGTGTACACACACACCACACACACACACACGTTTCCTCTGGCTCGGAGCCTGCCCAGAGGAGCCCAGCCGCCTGGGCTTTTGCATAACAAAGAATTCCATCAGCCCAGTGACTGGCAATAGAGGCAGTCTCCCTCCTGCTCCTGCAGCATCCCATTATCACAGCCTGGCTCACACGCACGCACCCCCCTCCCAGCCTTTTGTTTTACATTCATGTGAAAGGGGGGGGGCGGATACATTTAAAAATAAATCAGCAGCGCCCTGAAAAATGTCCGATCCCTGCAGAGCCCCCCAGGCACCCCCCGCCAAACTCTGCTTTCTTAGGGGTTGAGGTGGATGCTGCTGGATTCCGCCCTCCCCCCCCCCCCCACGCATCTCCTGGTGCTTTTGTATTTTTAACGTGGGGGCGGGTGGGTGTCTAGACCCAGATCTCATGCATGAGACTTTGGGGTTCTGGCTCTTGGGGCTGAGAAGCTGCAAATTGCTGCGTCTCCCTCCCCTCCCCTTTCCACTCCTCCCCCGCTGTTGCTATGGGATGCGGTTGCTACGAGTTACCGGATCAAGGCCGGCTACTTCTTTACCTGACAAACAGCCCCCGGCAGAGCCTGGGCGCATGGAGGCGCCTGGAACACACTCACGGGCGGGGGAGGGAGGGAGCGAGCTGCCGCGAGAGCCCCCTGCACACACAGTCAGTCTGTGCTTGCAGCTGCAGGAAAAACTACAGCAAGTGGGGTGGGAGGGAAGAGAGGATGAAGGCCCTGAGGTAAGAAACTAGCAAAACTCAACTGAAAGTGGTGCCAATGCTGCCTCCAGGAGTAAAGGCAGGAGGCGATGGGGGGGCTGCTGATGACTAGGCACTTGTTGGAGTAACTGTTTGCCTCTTAGCATGGAGCCAGATGGCTAGTGAGGGGAATTTATAAAGTTAGGAATTCATGGCAGGAAAAGGTAGTTTGAAAGCTTCTCGGCGGCCTTGGGAGAGAGCACAGGCAATGAGAGGAAAGAAGCAGGCACTGGAAGAGTTTGTGCTGCTAGATCAATTGGTGGCAAATGTCAAAAACTGTGTTCCTAACAGTGAGGAAAAGTTTTACAGTTACAGTATCAGTTAGTGAAAGGTTTGCCATGTAGCATTCTACAGGCAAGGGGAACTGGTTACGAAGATATAGCTACAAAGAGATAGCAAAGTTTTGGAAAGTATATTTAGGTTGGTAGAGTTTCTGATTTGCAGGTTTATACATATGATTTCCAGTAAATATGCTCAGCTTTGCCTTAAGTACTTGCAGTGATTTCCTCATGGAACTGGAACAGTTTTGTATTTGCCAAACTGTAGATGATGATTTTAAGTAGTATATATTGTAATTGCAAACTTAGATTTTAAGAGATATCATATCAACGAGGTATTGTTATTTAACTTTCCACAAGCAATCCTACAATAAAATTTCAAAGCTGCAAGCCATATAATATAATATTGCATAATTGCTCATGGAAAGTTGATAGGATAGGAATACTTAGAAATATATACATATATGTTATGAGTATCTCACACTTCAAGAACTCTAAATGTTCCAAACCAAAAGGAGTATTTTTGGTTCCTGTTCTAAAAGATAATTACATTATCTTCTAAATATGGTTTATTCAAATAGGCAAAAAAGCAATTTAACCTGCAATGGAATATTTTTAATTTTAAGAGGGAAAGTCTATTTTTCTTTAAGTATTGAAGGCCTTTCATGAGAAGAATCAGTCTTGACACTGGAAGTACTGAATTACATTTTTGTGTTTAAAAGAAAGAGTGCAGCATTGTAAAAGTAGTTTAACAACAACAAAAACCCCAACCTTTTTGGGATAAACATTGATTATCATTATTGATTCTACTATTGTTGTTATAGCTACTTAGAAACATAAGGTTTTATTTTACCCATTCCTTGAAAGGGCTGCTAACTTTACATGCTTCTTGTATTACAAACAGATAATGTCACAAATACAATTGGATACTTTTTAATATAGTTCTGAAAAACTATCTTCAACACAAAAATATTTCAAGAACAAAAATGCACAGAATTTAGAAAAGGTGGGCACAGAATTTAGAAATGTGTGTTGAGAAAATAAGACTGTCAAGTTTCTTACTCTTAATGTTTATAAAAAATAAGCTGTGTTATTGAATGAATTATTTTCTTTTAAAAGAGGATTTTTGTTACCTTGTTTATAGAAATGTTTCAGTTGCATTACGAGTAACAGGTTGTTGGAATGCTGATTTAGAATATCCTTAAGTTAAATATGCATTACAATTCAAAAATATAAATGACTGGGGGTATCTATGTTTGTTTAACAACATATAGCACACACAAAAATATTTGAGAAACAGAAAACCGTGTAGAGTACTAAAAGTCATGAAAAAATAAATTAGGAAATGGATTTTAAAAATAAATCTCATTTACAAGTTAAAACATAGAGCAATTTATTTTTGTCTTATTTAATTACTTAAGAATGTTCTGTTTCTACTAAGCTTTCTTATAAAAGTATAAGTGTAGCAAAGCAGGAACAATTAAAGTGATAAGATTTTGGATGCAGGAGTGGCGCATTAAAAATCCTGACTGTTTGAAAAACTAGACAGAAATGTCACTTATAGTCAAAAACAACAACAAAAACCAAGAATCAAATTCCCAACAAGATGAGTTTCTTGTAGAAAAACAATATTTGATGTAGTGCTAAAATCACAACACACTAATCAAAAATTTTAAGAAGTTTTATATTTAAATTTCACAAAATAAAAAACATATCCTAAAACATTTACAATTGTTTTTTCTTGGTAAATTAACCCTAGAACAGAATATTCTTCATTATCATTTAACATGAACGTTTTCACTAATACTAGGTATACAGAGAACTCAAAACAGTAACATTTTAAATAAATTTCCATGCAGGATAGGAAGAAGGTAATGGAACAGATTTTAGAGCACAGATCTAACTTGTGAAGAGTGTGATAAAGTTAATAACAAGTGTAAAGTGCATTCAATGATCTAGCTCAACATTAAACAACACAAAAAAAACCAATAGTATGGTAAACAAAATGATAATTAATTTCCTTCTCTAAAAAATTATTCTAGTTCTCAGTTTTTGTTCATTTCAAGATTTCTTCGCTGATGTTATGGGCAGCTTTGCGCTAAATAATAAGTCTATCAATGAGGCAACATCTTCCAAAAAGAAAAAAAAAAGTCTGCACTTTGCAATAGAAGCTATCTTGCCATGATAACTTGTTGCTTTAATTAATGTTATTAATTAAAGTGCTGTTATATCAAAATATTTTGTTGACCCTTCTACACACAAGCAGAGATGGTGACTAGATATATTTGTGCAATTCAACAAAACTGAGCAAAAGAAACAGATGATATTTATCTTATGAAAGTGCTACCATGATGAGAAAACTGGTTCAAAGTAATTACCTAAAAGATGAGATGTTATCCTCAAGCTCTTAAGAGACACCTTTCTAAAACTAAACAGGTTCCCAGCTGGATGCTTTAAAAACATATCCACACTAACTTTTATTAGCTGGCCAATTAATTATATATTGTTTCTGTGTAATTCACAGGTTAAAAGATACTAACTACTGTATCTTTGTCAGAGACAAAATCCATACTGGACCTGAACTTGCAGCACTGAAATCCAGAGGAGTTTTGCCATTATTTCAATGGGAACAGGATCAGACCCACTGCCTTGTCTTTAATAGCAGTTAAATGTCAAATATAAATAAACATTGAAACATTTTCTATTGACAGGCTCTGGGACAAGTTAACTCATAGTTGCTGCTATAAAGAGCAAAAGTAGATTATAACAAATGTTTGTGGTTAAAAAGTTGTGTTCAAGCCTGCCATTTGTGAAAAAGTCAGTATTTCAATGTGTTTACTACAGTAAAAGTGAAATTAAAAACTCCAGTTATTTCAGTTTGTACCTAACAGCTTAGAATTCTATATTCGAACAACGTGTTATATCTATGTGACTATCATCCTTTCGGAAAGACAGTTTCACTTCATTTAAAATGTTAACCTAGAACACTTAGCTAACATTTTCAAACGTAGGTCCCTAAAGTTAGATACCTAGAGTGAAATGTTGGCCCTGTCGAAGTCAGTGCAAAATGCCCATTGACTTCAGTGGGGCCAGATTTTACACATGATTTTCATAGGGAGGGAGCAACCATAATTCCCACTACCTTCCATGAGAGCTGAAGGTTTTCAGCACCCCTTGAAATCATGTCACATTTATGTGCCTAACTTTAGGCATCTATGTTTGAAAATGTTGGCCTCTGGCTCTTGTGCATGATAAGAGCAAGTTTTCCCATAAACATTGGAGAAAGGCTGAGGAAAGATAGTCTATATCTCCAATTGTCAGCAACAAATAGTACAGATTCTGTTTTCCTTAAGTCACCATGCTATTTTTAAAAGTTAATACCCTCTGGTCTATATAACTTCATTACCAATGTCACACAACTGGTTAGAGTGAAACTTCTCTGGTATAAAGTACACAAAATTGCTTTGAGTAGATTTTCATTTGATACATCACTTTTAAACTAATGTAAAATACCTTTATTTTTTAAGATCTAAAATACATAGTCACCCAGGGAAATATTTTATCAGCCATACTTGGCAATAGAGCACCACTAGCCCAATATTTGTCAAGATTTTAATGGCTGCATAAACCTAAATGTAATAGGCAACATGTAAAAATAAATCAGTGCAATTTAATAAAAGCAACAAACAAAGAAACAGTTTCAAAGCTATGGTCTGAAAATTGAGAGAAAAAAATATTTTGCGAGTCTTAGGATGGCAATATACAAGTGATTTTTCAGGATTCTTCAGAGACTGTGCTTGCTTTACATCCATGTGAAATGCTGTCATCACTACTGTGTCCAAGCCCGGAGGATGAACTACAGAGAAGGGGAGAAAAAAAATAAAGAAAGGAAATTGGTTTTCACAACACACTCAAAGCCTGAGTAACAGAGGAGAACTTTAATTATCTCCAGTCACAAAGAGAGACAGGAAATTTGGACTTTTAATTAGCCATTTGGAGTGCAGTTGGATATTTTTTTTAGCAAGATAATTTAAACGCGAATAATTCAAGTCTGACTAAATGAAATTCACATAATCAGAATGCAGATAATTGAATTTCTACTGCATTCATTAATTCAGTGTGGAGGTGTGTGTGAAGACTTCTATGATGAGCTGTCACAGCTCAATAAAATCTCAGTCAATTAATTTTTTCTATTATCTTAGTATTACATCAACAAAAAAGTAGAAGTCTCTGTGTGTGTGTGTGTGTGTGTATGTATATATATATATTGGAATGTAAAGAAGAAAGTAACCTCTCTGAATCAGAATCTGCCTCATTTTTTTCTCTTTTTCTCTCTTCATCTTCAATAGGAAAACGTCGTTTCAAAGAGGCAAACTTATGAATCGCATCAGCAACAGAATATTTTGTCTGTCCAGATACACAAGCCTCAATATCTTCTGGACTTAGCTGAGTCTGTAAGAAGAGGTGAAGTCTACTGTCCGAAAGCAATAATGCATTTTGTAGGATCCTTTAAAAAAAAGAAAAACACACGTAGTTACTAGAACAATTTCTCAGAGGTGTCCGGCTTTTAAATGAATCCCAAATTAGCTTCAGAATGCACTGCATATAATAAAATGATTAGGTATGTGTTACCTTTTTATTACATTATCTGGAATTTTGGGTGAGTAAAAACATGAAGCTAATAGTTAAGAACATCTGTTATAAGAATAACTTCAAGGGCGTTTCTTCCATTTAACCATCTGTTATTACCATGTGGATCAATTAATGATTGTAAGGGGGGCAAAGGCACATGCACTTATGGAAATTTGGTCTACATTCAAGAATTGTCTATATTTAAAAATACTAAACTACTTTAAACATTTCAACTGCCTGATTTCTCTTGGGGGAGTGGAAGAAGATGAAGGAGTTTAGAAGCATGAAAAGTCAGGACTTTGACATATCTGTGAAATAGAATGTGTGTGCACACCAACAAAAACTAGAAGTACATATTTACACTTTTACAAATTTGTATACATTTAAGGGATAGTAAAAATGCCATCGATGTACATTGATTTAAATCTGTTTGTAAAATGCTTTCAGTAAGTTCTGACAATACTCTTCATTTTAGCTGTTTTTTGAAAAAGTCTATCTCCAACTGCAGTTTATATTTGTGAAAATAAGCCTTCAAATGCATTTAGCATAACCTTTTTAATCATGTGAACTGTGTAATCCAAGTACAATGCATTCAAAAAAATTGGAAAGTTAGAGTTACTCTTCAAGGACTGAAATCTGAGCATTAGCATTGCTACTCTGAAAATGCAATGCTCCTGCAATATTTGTATAAGGAACGAATTGCACAATAGGTCTATTCTTAATATGATCAGCAGCAGACAATAAGGGCCCATTCCTACAAAATGCTGATGTGCATGTGTAACTTTACTCATGGGAGTAGTCTTTTTGAGCTCAGTGGGAATACTCAGCATTTGCAAAATAAGGGTCTATGACACTAACAACTAACATTGCGGGCAAATTTACTACAATATATTTAAGCAAGCCAGAACCGTTGAGAATTTATGTTTGCCTATTTACAAATATTTAGGTTAGCTTTTAGTTATCAATATCTTTTCCATTTATTTGACAACATTACTGAATATAATCAGATACAAGACAACAACATAAGAACTGGTGAAAGTAAAATAAATAAATAAAATTAAACTGTATTATAAATACCCGAATTAACATGAAGTGTACAACATACTGGTTCTTCCAATCTTAACCACGTGTTTGGACTGTAATATTTTAAATATAAATGAACTCTGAAAACTGTTCTCTGTTGTGACCAATATACTGGTAATATTTAATTAATGTAATATACTTAAGGATTTCTGTCTTTAGGTTAAAGGACAGCAAAATGAAAATAGACCTATATAGAACTTGAAATTGATAAGTTTGCAGTAATTAAAAATATTTGCAGTGGCCCATAATGATCTACCATATTCCATGTGAAATTATCAGAGAGTGGGGCTGCAACAGGGATCACTTTTTGCTACTGTTCAAGATAAGGACATTTTTAAACATTGATAAAACCCAGCTTTTACTCTGATAAACCCACACATAGTTTTCTTAAAAATAGACATCACAAATATAGTCTCTCTTAAAATCCATGCCTACAAAGTATTAATGCACAGTACATTTAAAAACAACTTCTCAGTAACCCAAAAGAAACCACCTAATAGTGTACAAAAATGAATCAAGCCACAGAACCTACAAATCCACACACCTCCCTCCTCAACAGCAATAGCTTCATGAATACAGTTTGAAAAGCCATCATTCATTGGCCACTCTTGGTCAATGTGAAATCCCAAACAAGAAATGACACAAACATCATGAAACAAAAAGGGGGAAAAAACCCCAATCATACCGCACAATAAATACAGATTTATAGTGTAAGCACTGGATGAGCAAACTCATTCCTTTTGTTTGTTTTCTTAAAGTGAATCTTACTAGAATTTATGTTCCAGATTTAAAAAACAGATAACAGTGAGGGGATTCACATTTTTGCAATACTAATGTCTGCATTTCTAATTCAGAGTAATATAGTAAAAAGCCAGCCCATTAAATTCAACATGCATAAGCTTTAGTTTCCCTAAAGATTTTCCTATATTATATCTTCAGTAGCTTCCTGCCACCCAGGCTAAAGCGCAAGTAACTAACTGTTCATGAGATTACGCTATACTTGCAGCTTTGTTGCTGTTTGAAATGTATTTTATTTTCTTTATAAAATAATGGGTAATCTTTAAAATTGATTTTAGATGGTTTGAGGCTTTACACCACAGAAGTAATGAGCACTAATGTCAACGATATTGGACACAAATTCATTTTAGCTTTATTTCATGTCCACAGCAATTCTACTAAGCCTTGAACTGCTGAAGCACTATTATTAACTTGCTGGTAACCTAACATATGGGAACAGCAAACAAAAGTGATAAGAGTACAGGTTGATCAGAACCTCAAGGCTACTGTCCTTTTTCTGCAGCTATAATTCAATTTCCAATTTTACTTTACATTGGACTCATTATTTCACAGTTATTTTCTCTTCTGCTTAATAGTGCCATCTGGAGGTTAAATGCGTGAAGAAACACAGAGAGGAAGAATTAGAGAAAGATGTTCATTGAACCAATCACACACAGTCCATCTAGAAGGGAAAACATTTAGAGTTCTTTACTAACCACTGTAAGTCAACATGAGCAGTCATAGAAGCACTCTTCACCTAGGTATGCCCTTGGAACGCCTGCTCTACTCTTTAATTGAGAAATGACAACTTTTGCTTTCTTCCTTCTGCACCAGCCGCTTATATTGCTTGAAGGATGTAATTAAAAAGCCATCAAAATGAAAAATAAAGTGTCTGCACTATTCAGATCTAACTTTTAGTTTTTATGTTCAAAATATTCATACCTCCAAAACAAGGACATGCATGGTTTGTCGCCCGTTGTGTTAGTATTGTGGAATATTATTATTATTATTACAGTAGCACTCAGGGGCTTCAACTAGGTCGGGGCCGCATTGTGCTAGGTGCTGTACAAGCACATAAAAGGTGACAGTCTCTGCCCCAAAGAGCTTGCAGTCTAAACAACAAGACATGACATGTAGCTGAGACAAACAACTGGGCAGGAAGAAGTGGAGGAGGCAGGGGAAGGTAACATTCAATTAGGATGTTTTAGCACTGACTAACCATCTGTGTAATTTTTAGCCAACCAGCAATTATCACAATGTTCGATGAACATCAGCCAGTTCATTACGGCAAATACCAACACAGAAACAGATTCTGAGCCCAGCTGCTCTGGTGTAAATCTACAGTAAATGAGATCAAAATCTGGCCCACACAGTTAATTTATAAAAAGTCACAGCTCACACTGATAATTCTAGTATCACCTGAAAAAATTGACTGGGCAGATTTAAAGGAAAGTCAGAGTTTTCCTATACCTACCTAGGATAGAAATTAATGCCCTAATCCTGCAAACCTTTCCCCACTGAGTAGTCATTACTCTCACATAAGAACTCCCTTACATGAGTAAGGGTTTGCAGAACCAGTCCCTACGTTTGAATTTGAGATAAAAATCTTTCTTTGTTGTCAGGAGAATCGTCGTTTGTAAGCATCCTTGGTAAAAATGTATCATCTCTCGACCGTCACAGAAAGAGGGCATAAAATACGGAGTCTTGCAACCCGACCCAAACCCAATGGGACCTAACTATAGGTGCTGGGTTCAGGTCAATTTGGAGATGAAAATGAGTTGACATGCTTAGACTGGGGGCAGGCGCAGGGTCAAAGGCAGTCATAGGGATGGCACGACAGGGTGATGGTAAACAGTCTTTTGTGGGTCAGTGACTGGTGGAGGTGCTGCCACCAGGAGAGGCGGTGCTGTATTCGCATCAGCTGTTTCCTGCCTTAAGACACACACACACACACACAGTGTGGTTCAGGTGTGAACAGAGAGAGAAACAACATGACCAGCTGGGACCCCACACCAGGCACTGCCTGCCCTGCACCTCACCCCTCCTGCCCAGCATGGAGGCTTTCATGGGGCTCTGCAGATGGGTACTCACCCTGCACCACCCCTGGGCCCATGCCCCCACCCACTCTGCAGTAGGGCCAGGCAGGAGGTGGCAGTGGAGGAGAGAAGGGGAGCTGCCCCATGTCTGTCCTGCTGTGTGGCTGCCCTGGCTGGAAGTTTGAGGGACTGAGGCTCCACTGAGGTCTGGGCAACCCTGGGCTTCTTGGGGCAGCTGCAGGGGAGGGAAGGGATGTGGGTTTGTGAATGGCAGAAACACCTGGGTCTGTTTGCAGCATCCTAGACATGCTGTTATGCTAGCTCCGGTTCCTGCTGCTCCATCCCTGACCTTGCAACCTGACGTGGCCTGACTATAAGGGTCAGTTGTGAAAATGCCTTGACACTCTCAGCTTCAGGGTGGATTCAGATCAGCTGTGGTCTAGTTGGGTTCAGATTGGCCTTTAAAATTAGACCCGAGAAGACCTCTAATAAACTTCCAGTTGATATGCAAAAGAAAGCGCATGGCTTTTGAGGAGATGCTGTATGCTACATGAGGAATGTTCCCTCTCCCAAGCTAAAGAGAGAACATTTACAAAAGGCAAAACATGTGTTGTGTCTTATTTGGATAAAGGCCAAAATCTGGTTTTCTTCAATGTGATTTTATTAGGTATATTATACACTGTTCTGCTGGAGGAGAACAACATATGGCTGAACAGTACAACTTAATCCTAACTAAAGATTTCCTGTATCTACTGTAACCTAATACAATGACTGATGCACACTTGAATGTGTGTGGAAGGTTAACACTCTGATTTCGTTTTCAGCAAATTTACTCTGCCCATTTACATCAGATCATGAGAGGGTGAAAAAATAAAACCTACCAAAAACAACTGATCACAGCCTGTGTTCTGGTGCCCTCTATTGAGCGCACACAGAGATTCAGACAGGGAGAATGCGGAGGGGGCACAGTCATTAAAGCTCTATTTCCTCCTTTGCAAAATGTCCTATATTTCCTCATACTTTTTATCAATACCGTTTCCTCTTTTCTAATAGGCCAGTGTGAAAGGTAGCAGGTGCTAGCTGGGAATATGAAAGAGAATTTAACTAAATAGAGAAGCTAGGAGGGGCTGCCAGATCCCATACTCACTTCAGCACAACTCATCAAATTTGAAATATTTGGAGCATTCTATTCAGAATAATGCCAATAGAAAGTTGGGGCCTGATTCTGCATCCCTTATTAGCGTGAGTAAACCTTACATGTAGTCAATGGCCCTGGTTCACTATTGCCTTGTACCTTGTGTAGTCATTTGACCAGTGCAAAGTGAGAGTAAAGTACAACCAGATCAGAATGGTAGTGTTGAATACCCACTTTGCAGTGATGCAAATGACTACACAAGGTACAGGGCAAAAATGAACCAGGCCCAATGGGACTACACACAATATTTACGCATGCAAGGTAGGGAGGCAGGATTAGGAACTGGTTTGTGAATCAGCAGCGGACTTTTAAAAATAATATGGAAACAGATTTAAATAGTATAGTAATCTCTTGTCAGGAGATGTAATATTAATAAGCATGTTTCCTGTGGTAATTGCCAGGAATAGCCACTCAAGAGATTACTAATAGATATTTACCTTTTATTTTAAACCAAACATTGGTATGAGAAAATAACTCCAGTTTCATTCAATTAAAGCAAAATAATTGAATGCAACTTAAATAAAATAAATTGCTTTTGGTAAATACATATTGGAGTTATAACAAACAGGAATGCAAATCATCATTTTAGGTAATTTTAGGCCCCAAAATTAAGTTTTGTGCAGAACAAATAGGTGAAAAGGGAGAGGGTCTCACAAAACTTAGTATTAATAAAGATAATTTCTTGATTTTTTTTCAATTCAGTAAGAAGCTTTTTTATTTGAATTTAAAGGAGAATTCATCAGCATCAGAATACGTCTTCAGAATATTTCCAATGGGAAATGTGTAGTTTTCCTCATTCCCAAAAAGCAATTTATGACTGAAAGATCGGCAATCTGACATTTAGCTAATGGAGGCAGAGTTCTCAAACACTGAACTTGACAGTAACAAGGACTGAGTTATACAGTTCTTTTGTCAATCAAAATGATAATCCCCTATAAGACAAACGGAATCAGTGCTGGAAATATATGATGAAGCCAGATTCATCCAACCTCAACTTCCAACATGAATTATAATGCTTTACGTATGTTTCAAACTAAGTGTCAAATCCTGGCCCTGATTTATGCAGCAGGAAGAGCTGCAGAAACCCCCTAAGTCTAAGTAACTAGCTGTTCACAGAGTTAACTAATCCAGAGGATGGTGTGTGGAGGTGGGGGACAGAGATCCACATCCACTCTCCAGCTGGGTAGTACAGAGGGCAAATGAGCCTCCTCTCCCCACCAGCCCTCCATAAATCCTCGCCCTTCTGTCTTCTGTGGGTGCCCTGGGAGCTGCTGCAGTAACCTTCCCACACAGAGAGGTGGATGGAGGAGAGGAAAAACAGAAAACAGCTAGGGATGAGGTGTTACATTTTCAAAAGCGACTAAGTGATTTGGGAGCATAGGTCACATTTTCAAAAGAGACTTAGGAACCTATGATTCAAGGAGGGTTTTTTAAAAATTTTACCCATGGCCCCATCTTCCTCAAGCTGGTTAGCGCGTGTGGCTTGTGATCCCTGTTCTGCTCACTCCCATAAGCAATTGCCAGGGGGGTGGGGGGCGGGAAAAGAGAGAGGGAGCTGTGTCTCATTCCGCCTGACAGGCACCTGTCTCCTTGCCCTGGCTGATAGCCCACTTTTGCTGTTTTGGCCTGTAGGGTCCCATTCAGTTTCTCCATGACTGATTTCCCCTACTGGAGCCACCTGCTGCGTGCGGGTGGATAAGGGCAGAGCATCAGCATAAGTGCTACCTTGCTGTCTCAAAGGATGTTCCGTCTCCCACAAGAAGTGGTTGTTTACAGCCTGGGGGCCCTGGGGAGCTGCTGAGGGCTGTCTGCTATAGGCACTGTGGGGCCCAGAATTTAGACCTAAAGTACTAAGCAATGTCTGTGTGTATACATACATACATACATACATACATAAAATCAAGGCAGAGGAATTTGAAAGACCCCAGACTAACCATAGGTTAGTGCCACTATTTTAAATTGTTGGAGCATGTGTCATATGAAAAAAAATCTGCAGTGATCCAGTGCTGGAATTATGCAGATCTCAAGCTTGTCAAGGAGTCACATAAATGCAGCTTTGGGGAAAGAATTCATGACATTTTGTTCCAAAAAAAAGAAAAAACCCACAATCTCCAAAATAGAGGCGTCTGGAGCAGCCTTTAGTTCAGCTAATGGAGAGAACCTTTCTACAAACTGGGACATCTGATGTTCCATCCAGCGGAGGGCAGCGCCACAGAATGTCAATGCCAAGCCAATTTATCCTAACAACTATATTTTTAAAAAATCCTTTCAAGTCTAGCTTTCCCCTGTGGCTGAGAATGTCTGGAAGAGCGGTGCCACCTTTCATGCAGCACTGAAGCACAAACATTTAAAACATTACTATAAGAGGAAAAACCCAGTTTAAAAACTTTGATGCACTGAACACTAATCATTTTTACGTTCATGGAGCAATGTTCTTGAAATGCTCAACATTCTCCTATCACAATACTCAGCTAAACTATAGGTATCCAAAAAGCTGAAAGAAAGTACATTTCTGTTTTAATGTCATTTCTGGAAACATAGCCACTGGATGAAAATACTTTGTGTCCTGTAATAAAGTCACTTTGGAGCAGTTTGGGCTGATCAACATTCCTACAAGTTTCATTTTAAAATTAGAGTATCTTTAAAAATAACAACAATTATCCACAACATGGCACAGAGAAGGCTGAGAGCTCAGACAAGGATACGTGAACAACCACAGGCTTTGTCCAGCCCATCAGTATTCCCAACTCTTGAGTTGTTTTTAATCAATGAGGTTGAGGGGAAATCCCTAGATCCTCCTCCACTCTCTGTATTAGTGTCATGTACCCTCAAGCAGAGTCATGACTAAAGTCCTGGCCAACAAAGATTAGATAGGACTCTATGCAGGAACAGATAAGACTGTTCCTGAAATGACTAATGGGGTCACTATAGACACACGCCCTGTTCCCAGTTATTGAGCACACTGCTAACACAGATTTTCCCTTGCTCTTCCCAAACTGGGAGCAAAGGACTCAGCTTAAAGCTACGTGACACTGGCCAGGAAGAGCATGTGCCAAAAAGCATAGCAACTTGCTTTAAAATTCCTGCCTTTGCTATTACTGGTAGAGCTCCACACTGGTAAGTGCTAAGGAGACTGGTGTTCTAACTCTCATGTCATCTAACCATGCTCAAAGTAGCTCTAAACAAAACAATGGTTAAAAAGCTGGTGGCTGGTAGCAGCCTGACTTCACTAGTGCTCCTACCACTGCAACCACAAATTGCACCAGTAATAACAATGGTAGGACATTTAAAAATGGTAATAAAAGCCACAAGATGGGACAAACATGGTTGGTCTAGTGCAGGAGTGGGCAAACTATGGGCCCGTGAGCCGTTTTACGCTGGCCCGCGAGCTCCCGCTGGGGCACTGGGTTGGGGGCTGGACCACACGGCTCAGCCCCACTCTGGCGCTCCGGCCCCGCTCTGGCACTCTGGCCAGGGTGAAGGGTTGGGACTGCACCACGCAGCTCGGCCCCACTTTGGCCGGGGCGTAGGTTGGAGGCTGCTCTGGCACTCCAGCCAGGGTGCTGGGTTGGAGGCCGCACCACATGGCTCCCGGAAGCCAAGGTTCAGCCCCACTCCGGCGCTCTAGCTGGGGCACAGGGTCGGGGGCCCCTCCACACGGGTCCCAGAAGCCACGGCATGGCCCCTCTCCAGCTCCTACACACTCCAATGGCCCCCTCCGGCGCTCCAATGGGAGCTGCAGGGGCGGTGCCTGCGGATAGGCAACATGCAGAGCCACCTGGCCGCCCCTCTGCGTAGGAGCTGGAGAAGGGATATGCCACTGCTTCCGGGAGCAGCTTGACGTAAGTGCCACTCAGAGCCTGCACCCCTGAGCCTCTTCTCCGGCCCCAGCCCTGATCCCCCTTCCCCTCTCCAAACCCCTCGATTGCAGCCCGGTGCACCCTTCTGCACCCCAAACTCCTCATCCCCAGCCCCACCCCGAAGCCCACACCTCCAACCAGAGCCCTCACCCCCTCCTACACTCCAACCCCATTTTGTGAGCATTCATGGCCTGCCATACAATTTCTACTCCCCGATGTGGCCTTCGGGCCAAAAAGTTTGCCCACCCCTGGTGTAGTGGATAGAACACTAGACTCGGACTCAGGGGACCGGGGTTCTATTCCCAGCTCTGCAGCTAGCTGCTGGATGACTTTGAACAGGTCTCCGTGCCTCAGTTTTCCCATCTGTAAAATACAGATAATGATACTGACCTCCTTTGTAAAGCACTTTGAGATCTACAGATGAAAAGTGTTGTATAAGAGCTAAGTATTATTAAACAGCCAGAGTGTTGAGCTAAATAACCATGTTTAAGCTGTTCTTAAAACCTTTTTCTAGCTCAGGTTGGAGCCTAGCCTAGGAGACTATTTTAAAAATTCTTTTCGTCCATCCCTTTAAACAGTGTTTTCACACACCATGTCCCTTGCAAGAAGACTACACTGGGGAAATTTACCAAAACATTTTCCACTGCTGTTATCACCGGTTCAGGTGAAGAAGTGTTGGTGCTATTTTAGTTATGCCTGCTGGAATAAAACTTATTTGGCAAAGTGGTAAAAATGGTGCCAACTGTGAGATTGCCTTAGCTAAACTAGAGGACCCAAACATAAAAGTGTTAACCTCAGCTCAGCTGAACTAGCTGTAGTATTAGAGGGATTTTTTTTTTAAATGATTCCTTATTACAGAGTTTCCCCAAGCCCACTGTGTTTAAGCAGAGTTTGCCAGAGAGGTGTTAACACTGGTTTCCTCACCACTGTAAACCTGTTTCTTTGTTTAAACATAGCTAGCTTGTTCTTGAAAGCCAATAGATTTCACCAGAAGAGCATTTTTAACCAAAATAAGGCCATGAAATAATTTAAACACTGTGAAAAAGTTCCTAACTGTCAGGGTGGTTAAACACTGGAATAAACTGCCTAGGGAGGTTGTGAAATCTCCATCTCTGGAGATATTTAAGAGTAGGTTAGATAAATGTCTATCAGGGATGGTCTAGACAGTATTTGGTCCTGCCATGAGGGCAGGGGACTGGACTCGATGACCTCTCGAGGTCCCTTCCAATCCTAGAATCTATGAATCTATGCTTTACAAAAATGCCAATTTTTAATCAATACACTGAAATGTGAAGAACTTCAGCTGAAATTCTGTTGCAACAGTTCAGCTGAAGTGGTATATACAAAAATGTGTCAATGAGAGGCAGAGGAAATCTAAAAGAGCAATATATAATGCTGGCCACAAGATGGCTCTCCCGTACAAGAGATGAGCTGTCTAATACAGCAAATTAGTGACTTCATTAACAATAAAAACACACTAAGATGCAGTACTTACTTCTCAAGAAATTCTTGTAGGCCCTGTCGACGATGGTCCACATGATGGGGATTATTCATATTAAAAAAGGGAGTTTTAGATGGAAGTTCAGGTAATTGGCTTTAAAAAATAAAATACAGGAGTTAAAACCAAAAATGATGTGCTGAGAAAAATAGTTTATGCAAGTGATCTAATTTTAGGAGGATAAATTACAACATCAGGCCAAAGGAAAAAATATCTTGGACAAATATAAAGCAAAGCCAGTCTCTGCTGAATGGAGGGGGGAGAGAAAGAGATAAATGTATCTTTGTGTACACATTTTATCATTTTGGGAGGTGCTCAGATACCACAGTGATAAGGACCATATGAGAACCTTGGTATGTAGACACCTAGACTCCAAGGATTAACAGTTGGGTCAGGAAAATGTACAGCAGTGTAATTTAAATTTTTTGTGATCTTAAACGGTTTATCAAAAGCACTAGCTGTTCAAACTTGTATGCAACAAAATATAAGATTAAATGTGTTAAGCCTTACTAGTTTGGGGAATAGCTACCAAAAGGTAATGGTGGAAGCCCCATTGCTTGAGATGTTTAATTCCAGGCCAGCCAGGGATACGTCTACACAATGATAAAAAAAAAAAAACTGTCAGCTGACTTGGGCTTGGGCTCTTGGCTGAAAAACTGCTGTGTAGACATTCAGGCTCAGGCTAGAACCCAAGCTCTGGGACCCTGTGATGGTTCCAGCCTGAGTCTGAACATCTACACAGAAATTTTTCAGTCCCGGAGGCCAGGTCAGACACGAGTTTTTTATTACTGTGTAGAAGTACCTGCAAACCACTAGAAAATATATTGTGGAAAACAACCTTGCACTGGTAGGGTAGAGAGTATATGGGCTAAAGTCTTGCCCAACTCTAACTTATATGATTCTCTAGTAATAGTTCAGAACAGATAAAAACACTACCCCTGTGTGTGTCATCTGCAGAGTATTAAACTTGTATTCATGGAAGAAGGTAGATTAAAAAAAAAAAGTCACTCACAGTAGCACAGCATTCTTCTGAAGTCTCTGCCGCAGCCATACAAATTCTCGAAAGCGTCGTCTAACGCAAGATGTTTTCCTTGTAAAGCACATGCTATTTGTCTGTTGGGAAATGAGACTCACTTTACTTGTAAATCCTTTAGAAAGAAAGCAGCATAGATATTTGATACTAAAAAAAGTTTACTAAGAATTCTGTCCTTGAAAACTGAAGGACTGATTTCTATTCAGTTCAGTGTAACTGCTATGTAAAACAGTTGTATCTTGAACCAGATCAGGATCAGTTTCTAACTTCTCAGGGAACATATTTTTCTTCAGAAGAAAATGACCAGAATGAAGACGTCAATTACAGCAGGTGAAAAAGTTTGTCAGAAAATGATTTCCAACAGAAAACTCCAATTTTTGCATTAAAAAAAAATGTTTTTTTTTAAAATAGCTCTGGCATTACCCTGCAAACACTTACTCCTGCATGCATGCTTCTTCCAGTGCATAGTCCCAGTTAAATCAATAGGTAGAACCCTGCAAATCCATGGGTATCCACTTTATATCTGTGTACCATTTCTGTGGATACCAGCGCGGATGCAGATACAAATTTTATATCCACGCAGGGCTCTGACGGTAAGAGCGGGCAAGCAGCTGTGAGGAACCGCGGTGCGGATCCTCCACCTGCCTTGGGAGGAGAGCCTGGGGGGCAGGGACAGGGGGCAGGGGCTGCTCGGGCCCCACGGCCAAGGCAGGTGGAGGGTCCGCCATGGCTCCCCAGCTGTTATTGTGGCTGGGCTGCGGCTCTGAGCTGCCCCCTTCCCCGGCCGGAGCCCCCTGGCTAAGTTCCCTGTAAGCTGTGCAGCCGCACAGCAGCCTCCTTTGCACTGCGCAGACACTCAGGGAACCCGCCCGGGGACCTGCCATGGCCGGGGGAGGCCCCAACCTAGCCCGGCCCCAGCCTGCTGCGGTGGTGGCACCCTTCCCCTGGCCCCAACTCTGCTGCGACCGGCCCGGCCCAGACCCAGCTGCAGCCAGGGCAGCCCTCCCCCAGCCCAAACCCAGCCCCAGCCTGGACCTGCTGGGGAAGTAGCACCTATTCTGCAGCCCCAGCCCCGGAGCTGCTGCGGTGGGGAGAGGCGCCTCTTCCTCCCCAGCCCAGGTGCTGCTGTGGGGAGAGAGAGCTGAGGGGAGTCCTCTCTCCCCGCCATGCCCCTGGAGCACCCTAATGCATCCCCAGCCCCACCCAGAGTCCACACCCCCAGCTGGAACCCTCACACCCCTGCACCAGCCCTGAGCTCCCTCCCACACTCCGAACCCCTCGGCCCTATCCCCACCACATGGATTTTGTTATGTGCACCAATATGAAGGTGATGTGTCACACATTACCTCCATATTGCTGTACATAAAAAAATTCATTCCGCACATGGGTGGGAGAAATGTAAGGGAACACTGCCCCCTTCCCCCCACTCCCCCCCCCCTCCCAGACAGGTGGAGTGTCCGTCACGGCTCCCCACAGCTTCCAGAGCATCTCTCCCCAACCGCATTACAGATGGGGATGCCTCAGAGCCTCAGTCCAGCCCCCGGTGTAGAGCTCTGCAAATCTGCAGATATCCACATCCGCAGATAATTTTTGCAGATCACAGATCGGATGCGGATACATATTTATGTATCCGCGCAGGGCTCTATCAATGGGACTAGCATGAATACTTGCTACACAGGGAAAAGCAGTTGTAATGACTGGCCCTTAGTTACCAGTCACTTGATTGTTTGCCCTTACTAAGATTAATGCTTTCCTCCCACACAAAGTGCTGATAGGCTTTTGGCTTTATTTAGCAATCATATGACTTCCTGATCTCAAACTCTCACCTCAATATTTGAGTAATTATGCAAGTTTGTTTTAATTTATATTTTCCACCCAAAAAATAAGAAAAAAGGGAGGGAAAAGAAAGAAGAGGAGAGCATTACCTCACGGGGCCGGCTCTGGCTTTTTTGCTGCCCCAAGCAAAAAACGCCCAGCCGGCCGGAGCAGCAAAGGGGGGGGGGGAAGAGGAAAACAAACCTGCCCCCAGCCGGAGCGGCGAAAGGAGCAGGGGAGAAGAGAACAAACCGGTCGGCCGGAGCAGCAAAGGGGCAGGGGGAGGGGAGAAACCGGTCGACCGGAGCGGCGAAGGGGGGGAAGGGGGGGGGAACAAACTGGCCGGCCGGAGCGGCGAAGGAAAGAAAAACAAAAACAAAAAAACAAACAAAAAAACTGGGGTGGCGGGGGGACTCCTGGCCCTGCAGACCCCGGGCAGCAGAGTGCGCACCCCGGCTAGCTGCGGAGGGTGGGAAGAGAGAAGGGGGGCAGCCAGGGCTTCCTTAAGCGGGGTGCTTGCCACACGGCCCCTCCCACCGCGCCGCTCCGATTGGCAAGCAGGGAAGGACGCGGGCTGCCTGCCGGGCTTGCTGCAGGGCGCTCCCGTCCTCTGCCCCCTACAGGGCGGCGGGAGCAGCAAACCAAAGAAAAAGAAAAAACCTGCAGTGGCGGCCAAAGCGGTGAAGCGCAAAAAAAGGATTAGATGGAATGCTGCCCCTTGGAATCTGCCACCCCAAGCACAAGCTTGGTCGGCTGGTGCCTGGAGCCGGCCCTGTTACCTCAGTTTCCATCTGCTAGGAGTTAATCAAAGACTTCTACAAAAACAACAAGGAGTCTGGTGGCACCTTAAAGACTAACAGATTTATTTGGGCATAAGCTTTCGTGGGTAAAAAACCTCACTTCTTGCATCCAAAGAAATTAGGTTTTTACCCACGAAAGCTTATGCCCAAATAAATCTGTTAATCTTTAAGGTGCCACCAGACTCCTTGTTGTTTTTGTAGATACAGACTAACACGGCTACCCCCTGATAAAGACTTCTAAAAAGTCAGACCAAATCTGTTCAAATCTGTTTGAGGTCCTTCTTCTCAGAAATGTTACCTGCTTTTTAGCTGCCAGGTCAGCCCAGTTGCTGAGCCAAGCTTCTAGACCTGAAGGCAGTCTGCTCTGCCACCTAAGCAGTAGGAGTCATTTGGTTACCAGCACTGCTCTAGAGAACAAGTTTTCCGTGAGTTGGAGAGTTTCCAAGATGATGCGATATATCCCAAAACACAGTTCTGGGAAGTAATTTTTAAAGAGGTATCCATGATCATATTAATCCTCCTGCCCACTTCTAGCCAAGAGGATTGTATCCTGGAACAGTCCCAAAACATCTGAGCTCTGGGAGACCCAGATCTCCAACAGTAGTTTCTTTTGGCAAGGCTAAGGCACTGTAACCTGTGCAGTGACCAGTGTGAATGAAATACACCTCTACCCCGATATAATGCTGTCCTCGGGAGCCAAAAAAATCTTACCGCATTATAGGTGAAACCGCGTTATATCAAACTTACTTTGATCTGCCGGAGTGCGCAACCCCCCCCCAGAGCACTGCTTTACTGTGTTATATCAGAATTCGTGTTATATCGGGTCACGTTATATCGGGGTAGAGGTGTATAATTTTCTGTTGAATCAGCCTTAATCATAGAAACATACAGTTTTTAATGCTTTGCAAGGCATTTCTCCATTGGCTAGGTTTTAAGAATATATACAAATCTCTGTTCAATGCTTGTCACTAGCAATCTAAATTAAGGAGAGGTTTTTGGACCACAAAGTCGTAACAAGCTATAACTGGTCAGGTGAACCTATGGAGTGCTCTCCAGATCTGCAACAATTCTGGAGTCTCTGGTGCTTTCAGCATAACAGGACCAAATAGGTCCTTCAGGAGATGCTTAAGCTCCAGGTAATGACAGTCAGCTGGACGAGGTATGGTGTACTGCTGTTGGAGTGCTTGGAATGGCAGAAACTGAACCTTTGAGAGACCCAAGTTATCCTCCTATGCATTCACTCTGTCCACATTACAAGTTTCTTGTCAATTTTCCAACAATGGGCTGCCCCAAAGTACAGCATCAATGTGTGACAAAGGATGGAATTTCACTTTTCTACCAAAGTGATCTATGTTTGTCTGGCAGCCAATATTGTAGGGGACACTTTACACTCAAAACAGTAATAGGCTGAACCCAGTAATCCTGCCAACATGAGGGGATGGAAGATATTTTTCATATGTCATATTTTTCAATCTTAGGGTCTAGATTAAGGAAATTATTATAATCCCTTCAACGTTTCATCCAACAAAGTATGGTAATAGAAAAATAATCAGCAATATTTAATTAAATGAAATGTATGACAGATTTAGGATATGATAGAATCACAATTTCAAATGTATCCTTATTAGAATGCAGTACACTAAGTGTTTTTCTTAATGCTTATAATTTTAAAGTACCCAGATACCACAGAGCTGGTCACAATATAAATGTCTAGACACATTGAACATTTACACAGTTATGACAATCAAATAGCGTGATAGATAAAACAGCTTCAGGAATTTTGATTATGAAGCAAGTAACTGGATTATTCATTGAAAAGAGAGTTGTATAAACACGGATGTTTGAAATCCAATGTTTTTTCTTACTATGATAAAACCAGTGACCATGCAAAGTCTGCCATATCGATCGTCTGGTTAAGAATTTGAACCATGAATAGTATCTGTCAGAGGACAGAGGATCCTAAAGCACACAAACGTGAGCCAGTGTGTATCATGAGCCATCTGTAGAAGGAACATAATACCTGCTGATGTCCCAGTGGTGCTGTAAGGCTTAAATCATTAATATTTCTGAAGTGATCACAGCCTTGAATAGATGTGCTACGTAAGTGCAAAGTATTTTTACTATGTTATTTTTAATACTTACATGAATGAATATCTCATAGTCTATATGTGAATGCCAAGAGTCTTCCTTCTGTATCCTAGGGTCCCGTACCAGGACAGTTACAAATTCCTGTAAGTGCATAATAAATCAAGCAATTAGTTTTAGAATAAGAACGCAGCTTGAAAGATTCTTTGCTTGTTTTGCTTTTCTGTGTTCAGACTAAAATCTGAACTGCTGCTTTATGGAATGTTGCAATCCTTTAAAAGGAGAAGCAAAAAGCAATGAATCATCTGAACTACAGTACATGTCCGGGAAACTCTTTGCCACACAGCTAGCTAAAAAGGGAATTTTTCAAGTTAAATAATATTGTAGATTTTTGAACGGTCAAACACACCACATTCATGGGGACTCGGTATCTGAGTGGCGACAAACTGATTATCTAACTTGTAAATCACAGACTAAGAATAGTTGTGCAGCAATTTTTTCAAATGCCAATCATTCCATTAAATAAAAGAGGCTTTACAAAAAATACTCGGTGGTATAGAATGACGATTACATTTTATTAGCATGCTGCTGAATCTATGTTTCCTCACCACTCTGTACAATTTTTCTTAAAATATTGTTGTTGTTTTTTTAAACAATCAAAATCTCTGAAATTAAGATATATAAATGCTTTACACCAGCCCAAGGAGGCAAGAATTGTCTTTTTCCTATGGTCTAGATCATCTCTTTGTGATCCACACCAGAGTAAGGGGCAGCACATCACAGGCTGCTCCAGGAGCAACACAAGTGGAGAGATTTTGCCTTGCAAAAGTCACAATCTCTCTCCTAGCTGCTCTGGGGAGGGAGGTCTACACCTATCACTGCATATGCTCCTTGATGCACCAGTGAAACTACATAATTGGGCACACTGAAGGGGAGCCGAGTCAAGGCTCTTTCCCACCTACCTGAATGTAGCAGCTCTTCAGAGCCCACTTCTCCCTACACACAGGAAGCGGTGGTACAGTGCATTGGCCCAAGGGAATAAGGGATACATGCCTCCTCAACAACTCCCTGGGCTGGCTTGTGGAATGGACCATGATGTGGCCCAGTATTTATCCAGTGCCCAGCAGAATGGAGTCCCAGTCAGGACTGAGGCCTTTGGACAATACTACACTATAAATAAGTACTGCTAATAATAGCTGTATGAGATTGAAGAAATGCAGACACTTTCACCTAATATCTCTGGAAGATCCTACATAATGTTAAGGAAAGTGGCGTAGCAAGCCCTAAATTCATATGTGAATATGAAAGTAGTAAATAGTAAAGTATCCTTTAAAATAAAAATATTTGGCAGTGTCTAACTAATGTGTTTGTATGGTAATTTAATAACCAGTTCAACTTTTGGAGGTTAGTTACTGAACCAAATCACTCCCCCAGAGAAGTACCCAAAATAAATAGGAAAAACTGGACAGGGTGCTCAAAGACATATGAATACATTAAGAGCTTGTCTACACATAGTTTTTGCAATGATTTAGTCTCTAGTGTGGACAGTTATACTGGTATAAAGGTGTTTATATTAGTGTTTGTGCCAAAACAAGCTATACTGATAAAAACACCTCTGTAAATACCACTGTAATTTCATCCATACTAAAGGATTGCACTGATTTAACTACATCATTTTTTCCTATCTATTTAGTAAAATCAGAGAAAATACTGTGTTATAGTCAATTCTCCATGTTGGAGACTTGTCTGTCCCATGCCTGCATGTGTGGTGATAATACACTTTAGAAATGCTCTAAATTACATAAAGAAACAAAGAAAAGAAAATCACTTTAAGTTATATTTTTGGGGCAGCAGGGGAAGAACAGGAAGGGGAGAACTGCATCAGCTTTGTGGGTAAGTGAAACAATTCTGGAAAGAGGGGCAGAGTTATTGACAAACAAACTTATTTTAGAAGGAGGTGGTGTTAAAAATGCAATGATCTATCTATTTAGAAAAAAATGCATTTTGCATAGAGAAGGCTAGACTGTCAGCTGATGTAATTTTTACTTCAATAGAGAGCCACACTGATTGACATCTGCTGAGGGTCTGGCCCAGAATTCTGAACCCAGCGTTATTTATAGAATAATTTACACTTTTCTTTTCAGAAACCAAAAAGTACTGACACAGAGAGCTCCCAAGAATACTTCTACCCCCAACCCACAGATACCGGAAAAGACTGCTTCGTTCTTCAACTGAATTCCTCTCTGCCTCCAACCCACGCAACCCATATACTCCCACCAGTAAACTGCTAACTAGATAAACAAGTCGATGCTTAGGAATTGTGACATCTGAGAGAGGAAAGGGTGTATTCAGACTGAAAGAGCATTTGTGCATCATGTGCGCAAAGTGACATTTGTGATCTGGATTAAATAATTCATCACATGGAACAACTGTTTTCATGGTGATTCCATTTCCTCTTTCAGCACCAGAGAAACATTCAGGACCTGATTCTCCATTGCCCTGCACCCTGTATAGCTTTTAACGCTAGTGCCAACTGGATGTAAAACACCACAATTCTGATTTGGTGGCATTTTACATAGGTGTCAATGGCACAGTGCAGAGCCATCGGAGAGCATAGCCTTTAGGGCCAGATTCTCAGCAATGTAAACGGACGCAGGTCCACTGAAGTCAACAAAGCTATGATTATGATTTCAACCAGCTGAGGACCTGCCTCTTAGTTTGCAGATCTATCCCCTCCAGGGTAACCACAGGTTTAAAATAAAATAAAATAAAAAAAACCCACCACACTGCTGGAACATGCAATGGGAGAGTTGGACGGGAATGAGCACTCCCTCTCCAAAACAAAAGAACTCGACATAAGTAAAAACCAGGGCAGGAGAAAAGTTCATCTCCCAGTCTCAAATGTCTATCCTGCATTTTCAATCTCCCAGTCTAATCCTATTTTACTGTCTGTATATCTTGCTCCCCATGCCTACATTTTGCTCTTCTCCTGCTAGATTTTCTGTTTCTTAATCTTGTTTTGTCTTCTCTTGTTTGAGTTTTATCTCTACTCCTCACCCTTTTCTCTCCCTGCTCCATCTTAGTGCTATGTACTCTTTTACTCTTCTCCTACATGCTGTTCCCTTTCTTTCCCCACCCCGCAAATACATAGCTTCAGCCAGCTGAAAGAAGAGGTCTCCATCAGGAACGGGGTCACTGTTCTTACCTTCCACTAAAGGCTTCCACCCCGTGAGGCAAAGTGGGTTGAAATCTTCTTGCAATCTGACCTTTGATTCCTTTCCCTTCACCATTCTTCATATCATCTGCCCATAATACCTCCTTATACACAGGTTCCCCAAATTATATTATTTTCCAATAAACTTTAATTCCCCCACCCTTTGCAACAGATCAAAAGAGCCATGTAAGTAAAATGCTGCTTTCAAAATCTGTTATTCCAAAGTATTGACCATTTAGGGTAAATACCTCCAAATACCCCCAAACCAACACCCCAACCATTTTATGCCCAAGGTCTGATTCAGCCCTAACCTCTATGATCCCATAGTAGGGCAGTAATATATAAGCTAGACATCTTTCATATTCTATTTGTACAACTAACAAAACAAGAACCAGGTTCTGTGGTGATTATGTACATTAGCAGCTGCTGGTTTCATCATAAGCTGTACCGTTTTTCCAATGAGGAAGTGTAGCAAAGAGCTAACTCAAAGCTCAGCTAATTATATCATTTTATGGAACACAGTGTGAATGAACACAATCTCAAGCTAACAACATGTAGCAGGTGGTTGTTTTTTTTAAACTCACAAAAAATACCAAGGCTAAAAGGAAAGAAGGAAGCAAAACAAATATTAACTAATGGGAAGAAAAGAAAATGTACAGCATTTCCCAAGATCTATGAAATTTTCAATATTAGTGACTTGGCTCCAAGAAGTGGTGAGCAACCACAGCTATTGTTGTAGTCGGTGCTCCTCAGAGCCAGGAACTGAATGCTTGGAATGTCCCAATCCCTTTTAACTCTTAGGCCAATGGGGGCAGCAGGAAGCGGCACGGGCCAAGGGATGTGCTGGCCGCGGCTTCCCACTGCCCTGGGACGGCGAACCGCGGTGAGTGGGGGCCGCGATTGGCCGAACCTGCCGCGTCAGCAGGTAAATAAACTGGCCTGGCCCGCTAGGGTGCTTACCCTGGGGAACCGCGTGCCGAACTGTGGAAAAAGTGGAAAAATTGGAAAGAGTCCAGCGGAGGGCAACAAAAATGATTAGGGGTTTGGAGCACATGACTTATGAGGAGAGGCTGAGGGAACTGGGATTGTTTAGTCTCCAGAAGAGAAGAATGAGGGGGATTTGATAGCAGCCTTCAACTACCTGAAGGGGGGTTCCAAAGAGGATGGAGCACGGCTGTTCTCAGTGGTGTCAGGGGGCATGACAAGGCGCAAGGGTCTCATGTTGTAGTGGGGG